GATATTTTTTATCATTTATACGAACCCGAGACTCTACCTTACACAAGAATCTCCTTTCTAAAGTGCCAAGATGAATTCTAAACATATCCTTTAGCATAAATCCACCACTGATTAAAGTGAAATCCTCCTGGATCACACTGCAGCACAACGAATTCTGCGTTTATACATGTCAACAAGAGTAGTTGGATTAAAATCCTTAAACCTTTTAATTTGTTTTTAAAAATCCAGAGTTATAAATTCATCACTGCAGGCACGTTCAATATTCTTACTTCTGCTCAGTGATAAAAACACAGTAACAGCAGCATCCGACTGGTCTCATTAAACATATTCAGGCTGAGAGTTAGCAAGTTTGTTCAAGACCGCTGTTAAAATCATGCAGAGTGGAGTCGGCTCGGGATCAAACTCCTCTCTACACTTACCTCTGTTGGAGCAGATAGTGGAGCAATAAGTCCACTGATTGAGAAGGAGTGCTTGACAGGAGTCCCTGGAGGAGTCAGTGGTTTCTTCAGAAATGGGTTCAAATCTCTGTGTACAGCCTGTGGTCTTTCAGTTATCTCTGAAATTTCTACAAATCACAAAGGTCCTAACAACAGTCAAGACGTGTGCTTTAAAGCTTCTACTTCATGTATTAGAGATGTATGTATAGCTACTTATTAGTCAAGACGTGTGCTTTAAAGCTAATTCTACTTCATATATTAGAGATGTATGTATAGCTACTTATATATCTTTTACTATTCTTGTTATTTCTGACTGATGCAACAACGATAGTGTGACTGTTTGACTAGCTCCAACTGAAATCTGACTGACCGCTGCTAAGACTACTGTCTTTATTAATCAGTGCAAACAACTGCAGTCGTTATTCATTCATGAACCGCCTCACTTCCTGTGGAGGATTGGCTTCTTTGGCATCGGAAGCAAGCTTCTCTGTGTCTTCTACCATCCTGTCCTCGCCAGTGTCCTCCTTTATGCTGCGGTGGGCTAAGGGTTAGCAGCGGTAGAAAAAGAGATGCTAGTGGTGTGGACAGGCTGATGAAGGAAGCTAGCTGTTAAGCTGCTTTATTTCCGTCATGTTTGTGTGATGTGTGAGGTGTGTTACGTTATTTGTAACACGACTCTTTTAGCCGACTTTTAGCAGATTTGTCTGCTAAAAGTCTGGGATAAGAACAGGTTATCTAGTGGTCAGGGGCAAGAAAAAAAAAACAAATCATTTTCAGCTCATTTTCCTCGGCTACAGAACTGCTATGAACAGACTTGAAAAGATCAGTCCACAAATTGAGTGGGCTGGTATTACAGTGTAGTTTAGAGAATTCTAAAACTACAAATTTGGAAGTTTTTTTCTCATATGAAGTACAGATTTAGTGGTGACTGTTATATAATATAAATACAAAATAATATATAAAATATTTTAAGAGATGTACTCTTAGTTGCCTGATGATTACTGACAGAATTCCAGGGATAAAGATGAATTAGCAATTACTTGATGTTGCGTTTCGAATCAGTCTAATTGAAATTGTGGGTTGGAGTACAATACAGATGACCTTCTTTAAAAGCTGTAATGTGTACATACATTAAAACGAGAACTTGCAGAAGTGCACAAAATATTTTACATTAAGAAAGAGACCTTGTGTGCACTACTTCTCCCCACTCTGCATAATCCCCCAGTTCTCTTTTCCGCTTGACGGGAGTTCAGCACCCTGGACAGATCCCTGGCATCAGGGCTGCTGGGACGTGCAAGTTCCGAGGGCGATGTCCAGAGTGCTGAAATGTGGACCACGCACCAGGTTTTCCTCACAGGGACCTCAAAGGCACTGAGGACAAGTCAAATCAAGCAAAATCGCTGCACCTTTGCCTCTCTTTCTGCACACACACACACGCGCGCGCACGCACGCACACACACTGCGAAGAGCATCGTGAGGAAGGCGGGTCAGAGCGTCAGTGGAGGAGAGATGCGGGGGCCCCGTCGTCACTTGCGCTGAGTGAGCGGAGCAGAGAGATGCGCCTTCACTGAGCCCGCAGGAGGACAGGCTGCTTTTCTCCACTTTTCTCCTCACTTCTGATAATCTCACCGTCGACATTTGCTTCTCACCGTTCCCGACAGTCAACACGACTACTGGATTTATTTATGCTTTTATATATATATATATATGTTTTGCAGTGGATTATCATTAAGTGAAATGTACTATATGTAATATTCATGCCGAGCGTCAGGGAGGAAAGGTAAGAAAAACTTCAATTAATTGACCATCCAGTGTTTGGGAATGCTGAAGTTTGTGTTTATTAAAGGCGATTCCGTGGTGTAGTGCTGGTGTTCAGGCTGCGGAGGAACATTTAACGGCAGAATGATGGTATGGATGGTGACTTTTAAAGCAGCCGCAGTTCAACCACAGAGAGGGAGATTAGTGGAAGGCACCGTGCCTCACGAACCGGCGTGGATCTTTGTCACCGTACCATAATGCGAAGGAAAAGTCATGTGCGTTGCGACAGAAAGTTCTACATCACCGGTAGTCGTATCGAGTCCGGATCTAAACCCAACGCGAACCATAAGTAAATGTTCACGTATTAAATGAGTGTTTCTGCAAATTAAAAAAAAAATAAAAAATTCGACTGGAATAGAGAGAAGAATCGGAAACCGTGGAGCCGCAGACACACTGCCACCCCGCGTGAAGTCGAGGGACAGCCCTGAGCTCAAGAGGAAGAGATTGTTTTATTTATTGGTGTGGGGCTGTGGGTCGGGTTGCTAATTAGTTTGAAATGTTTCAGGTGAAGCAGAGAATTTCTAATTTTCACAGAGACCACCGGCATTTGTTGCATCAATTTCTGGAGCTGACGAATCATAGGCTTTTATTAGAGGTGGCAGTAATGGATAAATAGACGTGCTTTATTGATCCCAGGCTGTGGAATTGCAGTAATATTTGATGTTGTATTCTCATCTCATTTCAATTCAGGCTTTCTGTCTCTTATACAGTTGGTCATATCACTGTCACTACATATCTAACTGCACTGTTTGCTGAAATGTGAGGAATTTAAGTAATGAGATTTTTATGAAAAAAAAACAAACAAACATTGATGGTGTTTTTGAATGGTTTAAAATACAATATCCACAGTGTCAGCTAATTATCGTTTTATTTGACAATAACATATAACACATCCTAGTGACCCCTAAATCTGGTCTACATGGTCAACCAAGAGAACCAGCCCAGATCTGTACATGAGCCACACGGTGTGAAAAATTCCACTGTGTCTTGACTGATGTTGGATTAAATCATCGCTCCAGGCTGAATCGTGTGACAGACACGGAGCACGGTGGAGGGGGAGGTCTCCAGTGTGTAATGGGGCCTAGGTGGTGCAACTCAACATGTCAATAAATCTGCAGCTCTGGATGCTTCAATGCATCATTTATGATCAGTCAGAGGTGGTTTCCCATGCAGGTCATCTCATATCCTGCACTCATTAATAATCCAGCTGTTGGAAAAAGTGTATATTCCCATATGCCCATATATACAGAATACAGATTGAGCCAACAATGGTCCAGAAAACTAGATACATTTTGCCATGAACCAACACCTTTCACTGTGTTTGTATTTCTTATAATTTAATATATTGTGCCTGGTGTATTAGGTGTTTGAAATATTGTCTTATAACGTCTTTATTAATCTAATGAAAATAACAATTGATTCAAAGGCATCGTTCACAGATCACTGTAAATGAAGTGACAGTTTAATATAGTTGTTTGAGATCAGTCACCATTGTCACCGGCAGCTCTGTTGGGTTTACTGTATCAGACCTTTGCCCAAACTAATAGAGTATGAAGCATTTTAATCTCCACTCTCTCACTCCGTGGACCTTCAGCATAGTTGGAACGCAATATGGTCCTCACTACGACACCTGATGCCTCCCTTCAGACAACATACCTAATAAGTCAGGTTAACTGAATAGAGGCCTGCAGCACTTTTCATAAAGGCTGGTAGCTCGGGTTTCATGGGCAAATAAATATTTGCCCATATACGCGGCAAAAATGCATCAACTCAGTCACTGGTGGGTTGGATTGACACACACACACACACACACACACACACACCACCTTTTCTCTGCTGTCTCACTGAGTCACTTTTTAGACAAAGACTAAAATGGAAGCAGGCAGTGTAGTCACAAAGGTGTGTGTCTCTGTGACTACACACACACACACACACACGCGGAGTGTATTAGCATAGGTATCACTTACTAGAATTCAATAGTTGGCCTGCTGCACCAAGATTAACTATTCAGAGCAGGTGGTTAAAGGGCCTATTGTGTTGCACAGTTGTGTGCTGCTGTCATGATTGGACAGTGCGTTTGTTCGGCGGCCGCTCGACTGCCAAAACAAAGGCAAGGGCAAAAGGCTGGACGAGTATACCCACTTACACACAAACACACACAAACACACACACAGTGTGCTATCTTTGTCTTTTCCATCAGTGAAAGCCAATGTGAAACTACAGCAACAATGAAATTAATGATCTGTGTATTTTAGAACTTGTGGCCACAAAGTAAAAATGTGTAGTTTCTGACCCTAATCAACCACGTAAACAGGAGACAACAGCGCCGTCGGGTAATTAGCGGTCTGTACCGCGGTCCCAGGAGATGTTTATGTACTGGAAATGGGTTAAAGTCTAACATATGCTGTGGGCCGCACCAAGGGCCACGTGGTTACTACACTGGTCTTCTTCTTTGGTTTTGGAATATTCCATTGTTAATTAGCCACTGTTTGACAGTCACTTGTTGACCTTAGAATTAAAATGGGCAATTTGTGGAAGGTAAACCCTGCACGAAGGGCTCATATACCTTAAGTGGTGTTTATGAAAAGGTATTTAGCATTTCTAATGACAACAGGGAAGGTCGACCGATTTGACTTCCTCGGTGTATTTGTAATGTTCTTAAACGCAGTAGTCAATCAATCTGTCATTGTTGTGTTAGTTTTGCTTTTTCACTGAGTCATTGTTTCTCTATTTTCTCATTCACAGGTGAGACTAAAACTGGAGGACACACAATGGGACGGGAAACTACAAAAGCCATGAAGGTCGCGTGCTTCATTTCAAGACCTGATTCTAAAGAAACGCTTCAGGAGGAAGAAGCTACCCACTGACACGTCGTCATCACCGCCTTCGTCGTAGCACTTTCACCTGTCCACTCTGTGTGGAAATCCAATACATTTCCATTTTCCTTTGCCTCGACTCAGCTCAGAAGATTAGATTCTGTCCATTATCAACATTAGATCTGCCTAAAAAAAAAGGATATTGCGTTCCCTGCCTGACTGTAAAGTTATCTATGTGGAATATAACATCTAGAAGATAAACGCAGCCATTACCAGATGTTATCATCACTCTAAGGATTCCTCCCCAGTTCTCCTAGTAATCCCATACACCTTGTTATTTTCCACCATGAATTCCAGTAGCCTGCCTAGTCCCATTCTCTTGCTGCTCAGTACCTTTCTATGCCTAAGCGGAGGTTTAGAGTTCACTGGCTCTGAGGGTCAGTGGGCTCGATACCTGCGCTGGGACGCCAGCACCAAAAGTGACCTGACATTTCAGTTTAAGACCTCACAATCCAAAGGCCTGCTGCTCTACTTTGATGACGGCGGATTTTGTGATTTCCTGCTGCTCTCGATAGCTGCGGGTAAACTGCAGCTCATCGTTAGCATCGACTGCGCAGAGATGACCATCACCTCCCATAAATTGGTCAACGACAGCCGCTGGCACTTCGCTGCGATCAACAGGCACTATTTGCAGACCGGCTTGGCCCTGGACGGCCAGACTCAGATGGAAGAGGTGCGTCCGCAGCGTCAGTACATGAAAATTGTCAGCGACCTCTTCCTCGGAGGGTTGCCAGGGGACATACGACCGTCTGCCATCACCTTGCCCTCTGTTCTTGAGCTACCACCCTTTAAGGGAATTATTACAGACCTCAGTTATGGGAGTAAGCTGCCCACACTCATCAACAGTCAGAAAGTACGCTTGGAGATGATGGGACTCTGCACAGAGAACCCCTGCGAGAATGGTGGAATCTGCTCGCTGGCAGATGGAGAGACCTACTGTGACTGCTCTAAAACTGGATATGTAGGTCGATACTGCACCGAAGGTAAGAGGCTGGCTCTAGAAGTTTCTGCTTGGTTAATAGTTTTTGATTAAAACGTTCATTTTTGCCGATTTGTGTCAGATAGGCATGGTTATAATAACATCTGTGAGTGTGACACGCAGCGACTGTACTTTATGCCTACTTCACCCAGTGACTTTGCAATCCAAACTTGTGGGATGTTTTTAAACTGGTTCACTTCACTGAAGCACTTACGCAGCAGGGCTATTTTTTTTTCCGAAGCTCATGCATGTGGTAGCTATTGACAGAGCTTTTCTTTGCAGGTTGCTGCTCCGGCAGCTTCATTTAGAAAGTCCTTACATTTCATGTGGGAGTAAAAATATGTGGCGATGTGTTTTCTCTCCCTCCACAGTTATTATTTTGACGAGGATGGAAAAACGCTGATGTAACCAAAATTCACAAAACTGTCTTCTCTATTAAATGTACTCAGCTATTGCTTGGTGGTGCAGGACCATGAAGGTACATGTGATCTACTGATAAGAACCTCCTTTATCTTCTCTCTTCTACCTCTTTGTTGAAGGCACACTGGTTTTGGAGGAGTATAATGAGATGCAGACAGTATTCTACCATAATGTAACATTGACATATTAACATACCCTTGAACATATAACAATTGTTGCCTTGTATAGGGACTGTTTACCTTTGCAATACACAGCGACAGTAATGTAATGTAATGTCAAATTTTTATTCTTAGGATCAGATCCAACCGAGTTCAGCCATTTCTATATATATATATTTTTAATTATTTATAATGAATATTTCACACGGTAAACTGGCTGGAGTCAAAATTGTCACTCTTTTTCTACATACCTAACTAACTCTTTCCTTCATGTGTATGGGTTTTTCAGGATAATATTGTGTGAACAGACCCGTATTATTTCTTCCTCCACTGTTGACCTATTTACCGCCTGCCTAAAAAGCCCCGCTCAGGGAATGAATCCTTATTGACCAAAAATCAGGAGAATGCTCACTGGACTCTGCAGCACCGCTGGCCATTTTAATCATTACCCATCGTATTACCCGTTGCAGCGTGCATTTCCAATGTGCCTTTCCTGACCATGCGTCTCTTTTGCCGCATTTGGTTTCGTAACGTATCCAATCATTTGCTGCTTAACTGAAGCTGTGTGGAGCTTAATTCCCGAGCACTTGCCCGTGGCATTGTTCAGAAAAGCACGGGATGTGCTGGTTGCGGGGCAGTCGAGCGTAAGAGCTGGACTTAGCCCCACTATTCAACTCATCCCATTTGCCCGTTGCCCGTGTTGAACAGATGATGGAGGAGATGAAAGAGGACGTGTCGCGTCTATCTGCGAGCTTTCCGAAAGGTGAACCCTGACATTGAACAACCCTCCATTGAAACAAACAAAGGTTTTACGAGTTGCAACTCTGCCCGGCTGCTTGAACCGGGGTTGGTCGTATCTCAGCTGCAGGGCGATGCAAGTATGACAAATATCACCACGGTCACTGCAGCACTGCTCTGCTCTTATTTGTCCCTGGAGGTCAGCTGTAGGACACGGACCTTCTCAGCTCTCTTCATCTGCGTCGGCCTGTGTTTCTCCTTAGCGGTTCACACACCTACGCGTAATTTCCCGGTGTTTTTGAGCAGTGAAAGAGCCTCTCAGGAAAAGTAGTCATATTGGCCTTTCGGCTGGCTTCACTTGCTCTTTCTGCCTGCCCATAAAAATGATGTGGGTGATTGTTGATTATGCCACAGAGACCGGGAACAATAATTAGGGGGATAATGAGAACAGTGAAGGCCAATTTTCCCTGAAAACGCTTCTGTAAACACCGCCATCAATTCAGACAGTCTGGCAGCAAACTGGCAGAGGACCATTCCTTTATGGGTGAGCCAAATAACACAAAGGTCTTTGAAGCAACTGAGGGGCGTATAGGTGACAGATTGATCAGAACAATAGGTCAGCCCTCCTGCGCTCGGGGGCTTCCGCTTGATAACGCCGTACATCAGTGAGCGACAGAAACAATCTGTCAAATGTGTAAATATTTACAAACATCACAGTATCAGACCGCACTGCGATGAGGACCCGGAGCTGCCTGTTTGTGCAGACAGATGGCCGACCGAATGGACGGGGCCTTGGACGTGTTACGCCGTCTTTTTCTAACGTCAGAAATGCAAACATGAGCAGCGTTAATGTAAGAAACGAATACAATAATGTGGGTAACGTAGTGAAGGGTTTGTTAAAAAAAATAATAAGGGTTTGAAAAAAAAAAGCGTTATATTCTGGAGGTGTTGATGAGTGAATCTGAATTAGCCTCCTGTTGATGCGTCATCATTTCTCCACACAGAGGAACAGGAGACAGTCTTGTCTCCACCTCGGCTCCTGCCGTTTCTCTCAGACCTTCCAGCTTGGCCAGCAGCAGAGCACGATAAACAGTTGGCCGTGGAACACTTGTTCCGCCTCTCCTCCCATGTGGACGGGGATGTATCAGCATGACTAACTGTGTCAGGGCAGCAAGCTGAAATTAGACACCACTCACCACTCACTCCGCTGCTGGAGCTCTGGACTTTTGTCTCCTGACGTGGTGATGATTGTCGAGCTACGCGTCGTCTTTAATATCACCTCCATTCCGCTCCTTTTATCAGCTGTGCGAATATCATTGTCCTCCATGATTGAACCTCCACATAGGCGTCCATTCAGTTCAGTCAAACTAGAGGGGGTTACATAATGAATATCCTTGAATAGCATGGGATTTTACAAATGCGAGTTATGAATAAGGTCAAGGTCGTTACAATCCTCTCATCTAATAAATTTAGCTATCTTCGTCACAAAATTCAAATTTGTCACATATGAAAAGAACATAGCCCAAAAAATACATTTGTAGCCGTAATGAAGGGCTGGTAAGTGAAGGGCAAAGGAACTGTTAAGCAAGTGCTAAAACGCTGCCCTCAGGCTCAGCTCTGGGGATTAATAAACAGACACAGAAAAAAAAAATGACAGTTACAATAATCTTCCTATAAAATGTAGGTCAGGAGGGGGAAAAGAGGGAAAAATAGCGCAGGGACTCGGCCGATGCCAGTGCACAGGGCGTTTGTGTCTAGTTCCCGAGCTGGAAATTATGTTTGGATTTAAGTGTAAAGCTGCTGGTAAAATAGAGCAGAGGATTATGTTCGGACCGCATGTCCTCAACAGAACATCGGCTTGTTCTTGGTGCTGTCAGATCAAGAGAAATGGTTATATCTACACAGGAAAAGGAGTATTTAACACTTTAAACACACACACACAGAGAGAGAGAGAGGCTACACATGCACACAAGCTGAGAGCATACATTCGAGGTTCCTAAATCTACTGCTCTGGAGAGCTGCAGTTGCACTGCTGTCCATCAGCTGGTCACTCATCCCCCACTTCTCTCACGCTTCGTCCTTTCCTTTTTACTGCCAATGTCGTTCCTCATGGTGCGGAAGAAAAGCCCAGCCATGGTTGAGTGCTTTAAAGACGACTGGAGAAATTCTCACTTTGCCCAAAAAAACAAAACAAAACAAAACAACAACAAAAAAACAGCCTTTACGGAGATCATCTCCATGTTGAATTTTATTTCTGAAGAACTCATGCTTGTGTCCCTGATGTTCAAAACGCTTACTTGTAATTAATTCCAATCGAGTACAACAAAACAACACTCGGATGAAAAACGCTTCCAGCCGTGCCTAGCTTTTAAGTTTACTCTATGTCTGAAAACACAGCCTCAGGCATAAATACTTTAACTTTACTCAGAAGACCCCAAAAACGTGACCTCTAAGTACTTACCCTGATGTTGCTAATCTGTGCAATCAGGAGGTCTAATACAACGTTGGTAATAAATATATGGAGTTTATCATAATAATCAATCAACACCAACAGAACCACATGCCCCCGCGCCCCATATTGGAACATATGTCACTGTGAGCCTGACTGACAGGCAGGACATCCACAGGGTGTCGCCCATGGGTGCAGTTCTCCGGTCCAGAAGGTCAACGTGCTGCTAATTTCTTTAACCAGAAAGTCCGACAGTGAGCATTCTCCTGAGCACAACAATTACGTTACACTTGGATCAACAGTAAGGACAACGGTGGTGTGTGGGTAAAGGCAGAAGGGTAGAAGTGGAGGAGAAAAGATATGGGTCTGGAATAAGGGTCTTGACATCCACAAGCCTCACAACGCCATAAATTCTCACCGGTGTGGATTTATGCCTTTTCTAACGTGTGTGAGGAAATCTGTGTGATGCGAGACCGGGAATATTATGTTACGGTGCAAAATATTCAAAGACGAAGGGTGATTTCTGAAGGTATGAAGATCTGTTCGATCTGGTTCCCCTGAAAGGACGGGGACAGATGAGGCTTTTATGTGTTCTCTCTCCACAGGGATTCTTTCTGAGAAGGTGACTTTTCATCAGGCATGTCAAGGGGCAGCTATTTTGCTCCTTACATGACAGTGCGATACTTAGCAGTGTGGAATTGTTTTGCATGATCAGCCCACATGCAAAAGTGTCTGGAGTGTGTAACTAATGCACCACTCTCTCTCTCTCTCTCTCTCTGTTTCTCTTGCCCTGATGTCTTCTCTCACCTCCACAGCAGTCCAGAAAATCCCAGGTGAGTCTCATCAAGGACAGGTTTCAGTTTGACTAAAAAGCAAAAATAAAACGATAGCAATAATAACTAAAAGTGGTTAAATGAATATTCTGTAATTGAATTTGACTAGAAAAAGAAATGTGATTTTGACTTGAGCCTCCTCAGCTACTTCATATTCAGCGCAGAGATGCTCTCCTTATTCCTTATACTTGTCTGTTTCCAAAAGCACTCCTAGAAACCTATGCTTTTAAGTGTGATAGTCATGGTTTGCCGTCATGCAAAGCATGCATAATGACAATACAAGAGCAGTATTGGTGTGCTGTTGTTTCTCAAACATTCTCTCTGTTCCCGTCTCTTTGATTTCGTTCTTCAAGGCCTCGCACACCTGAAGGCAGAGCAAGGTACTCTCTTCTACTTCTTGTGAAACTTTTCTTGTTTGTTTACCTGCCTGTCTTGGGTTTTTTTTGTTTTTTGTCAGGGCCTGCAGTTTTGTGTTGTGTGCATTTTTTGTTTTTTGTCGGGGCCTGCAGTTTTGTGTTGTGCGCATTTGCTGCTTGTCTACGTGCATTACCGTTTTGCTGTGCTTCCATTGGTTCTGTAAAGAACAGTGAGCAAATATATGCTTGTGTTTGTGTGTGTTTGTGTGTGTGTGTGATGGAACAAGGTTCACGTCCACATGGAATACTTGTCATTTCATTGTTTTTTTGCCTCGCACCAATAAATAAATCTGCCTCTGCTTCAGTGTGTCATCACCCTTGTTCCACCAAGGTTTATGTCTGTTACGTAACTGGGAACCGTTCTCTGCTCCTTATCTGCAGTAACTTACTGTGACACGCCATTGTTCCGACTCCACAGCTGAAGGGACCGGGGTTGTTTCAGGAACATAAGTGAGAGAGCATGATGAGGAGGAAGAAAAAAAAAACAATAAATAAAAAAAAAAACAAGTCAGAGGTTTACTACTAAAGATGGAAGAAGAGGGAGAAATTATGAATAATTAAGTAATAGTATAAATATTACATTACAGATGGAAAATGATTTGTTAACATGTATTCATGTTTGAATGCAGTATAAGAGTGAATGTGGAAAATAGTATTAGTATTTCAGTGAAGGAGAAAGAGTAGTGACGAGATATTTTCATTTACCTCAACCTTGAATTAATATTTTACAAAACAAACAAGATAAAAAAATGTATGAAGTTACATATATAAACATGTACAGTATATATATGTATATATATCATATATATCATTAAGAAAACATAAGGCAAACTATACTGTGTTTGTTTTTTAATAATAAAGTGCGTAGTTGCTAACTAGACAGAAAATGTCCTTTAACTTACCAGTGGTCTGATCTTCAAAGCCATTCTTTATTTCTGATAAGAGATTCTTCCAACTATAAAGGTCAACAGTCCAGCGTATCCTAGAATTAATTTCACTTTAAACACAGCCAACTCACAGCTCCGGGGATATTTCAGAAAACATACGTATAAAAAATTCAAGATACAATCGTGGTTTTACCTTTGTGGAGAGAAGCAATTCTCTTCACCAGAGCCAAACTAAGGAGAAACTGTGAGCTGTCACCCGTCTGTTGCTCGTGTTTGCTTCTTTCATTTTGTCGCCATTTGCACGCTTGAAAACTTTTGGCATGAAATTTTAAAACTGCTGCTCACGGAGCCAGGTGAACTAACAATAGTTTATCGTTCCTCTCTCCTCCCTGTCTCCGGTGCCTTACCCTGGGACTCCACTCTTCTCTGCTCTTGTCTTCCACTGTAGGTAGAAGCAAAGGTACAGCTCTTGATTTCTTTCCTACTTTTATGTGCATTTCACCAAACGTGTAATGAAAGTGACCGTGGAGCCCCCAGTGGCTCGTTATGGGCGTTTGTTGACGATTTATGCCAGCGCTCGTTTGTGCATGGTGTAACGTATGCTTGTTTATTTATTAATGTGTGGTTGAGTTATGGAACAGGTAGAGAGTGACACGGTGACGCTGTCAGCCAATGGCTGCGGAGCCCATAAGCTCACCACTCCATTATCACAATTAATCAGTCCAACAGAAATGATCAGAGTAAGAGCTCTAATGTGTCAAACGATGTGAAAACGGCACAAAGGCATTCAAATCAGCGGCGGACTCTGCGTCCGCGCGGTGTGTCTGCGTGTCCGCGTGTGCCGGTTTAATTAAACAGGACAGTTTTGTGTCCGTTGAGGAGGAGCTGGTAAATTTGACCTGACGTTTGGCTGCATTCGAATGAGGTCATGGCAGTGGGCTCTGTGTGTGTTGCAGTTGTGCGGAGGAGAACATCCTCATTATTAATTCACAAAAGCGATGCGATACATTGTGTGGTCGTTTGTGGTCATGCGTGTTGTGTGTGTGTATGTGTGTTGCTCTGTACCTCTTTAAGATGGACTGAGCAGAACAGTGGATTAGGATTGCAGCAGACATCAGTTGGAGCAGAGGGCTATTTTGCCCAGAGTTTGAAGAAAAGGTTATGTGTGAGTCACAGCGATGCATCATGGTTACGGTTGCTACGTCTGTACAGTCTGTTTTATAACAGTATAACAACGTAAGTAACATACAATAGAAATATTAAATAAAATAAATAATACATAAATAAAAACCAAATTGTTTACCAGCAGGACTTGGTGTTGGCAAGTTTGCTAAGTGATTTAGTTAGTTACAATTAGGCTGAAAACATTCATGATCCCGCTTACTTTGTGGCGGTTTGCGACTCACTGTGTGGATCAGTGTGCAGGGCGAGGTCCCATATAGGTTCCATTGTCGCAGCCTTCGCTGTGAAGATGGACGACTTCCCTGCGCGGAGTATGTAGGGCTTCCCTGTGGGTGTTCCACTTCCACTAACATCAGTCAGAAAGATTGGTTAGTCCTATATCACCCATGTGTGCAGGTGTAAATGATGGCCTCTATATTAACCTTGTACAATGAGATAACTATTAGAAGTAAAGCTACATGTTTGTGACCAAGTACTGTTCAATTTGAATGTCTTCATGCATTGGTAAAAAAAAAAAAAAAATTATGCAACCATTTTTCTGAAATAGCAGTGTGTAAAATCAGGGTCTGTCTTGTGTTCTACTGCGAGTCTGCTGTCATGGAACATTGCTGTGATGCAAAATCTAAAGGCTGGAGGAAATGAGGAAGGGATGGGGGGAGGGAGGAGAAAAGGTGTAAAGGACAAAGTGCTGCTTGCAGAGGAACCAGGGAAACGTGTCAGTGATGTGAAGTCATATAATTGAAAAAGCCAAAATGAAGTCTTTGTTCAGCCCCTCAGACGGAACTGGGGCTGATGTTTCATGTTCCTCGGTCAGTGCTGCCTTGGTCCTTTGGGAGTCTGTGGACACTTGTCAAGGAGAGTGTCTGGTCGTTTCCAGCTGAGAGCTGTGATTGATGTACACGTCTGACAATGTACCAAGTTTTCAGAAGAGCAATGCTCTAAAAACATCAACACGAACTGAGGCTTTAAGAACACTGCTCTAGTTAACACCCCAGTTACAGAGAAGTCATACAGTATCGCTGTTTCTCAGCGTTATTGTAACGTTATTTTAAATATTTCAGACATCAGTTGTATTAATAACTATGCAAATATTATAAAATAAATAACACACTTTATTACTCTCTTTTTTCCCCCTTAAACTCCATTTGCAGCTCCAAAATGCGACTGAGCGAAAAGTCATAGATTATACCAAGATGTGTCATTTTCATCAAAGGACCTTTGTTATTGTAGCCCGTGGTAATTGGACAGACACGCTGGTCCGTGACACCTCGCTGCTGACAAGTGTTGAAATGAAAGTTGAACGTCAGGCACAAGTGCAAGCCTGTCATGTAGATTACAGAATTTTGTCTTTTAGAAAAAAAAAGTGTTTGTATTTTAATTAGCTTCAGTCTAATGATTATAACATTGACCACATTAAGAAGCCATCATCCTGAAATTTAACAAGCGCCCACGGAGTTAGCCTTTAATAAGAAAGACGTCCTAATCTTGTTATTTCATATGATTTTGTAAAATAGTAAGAGGGCAAAGGTCAATGAGAAAGGAATTAAAAAGTAGTTCCTACTAAAATTAACAGAATTGTAGGATTTGGAATAATCACAGTGACTCATTTACTGTGTTTGTTTCTGTGAGCCTTTAACCTGTACAGAGTATCTAAAATTATTTTTTATATTTATTCAAATGAACAGCCTTGCTTAGCACTGAAACCTGCACCTGAAAAAAAAAAATCAACATCTACCTCAGGTAAGATCAAGAACATTTTATGAGACACATCCTCCGGCTTTTCCTGTGGGGAAAAGTTTAGAGAACAGAAGCGGGGCGACGATAAGAGCCGAACATTAGACCTATTCATTTAGACTTCACACTGTTCTACTAATGCAGTACTAGTACGCTGAAAATGAAATCGACCTTTTCCGTGCAACGAGGAGAAAATGAGTCTCTGCTATGCTAACAGCTCCGTCTAATATTTGCCATGTTGACCGAGGTTTACTTGGCTAAGGCTCAGTATGCTTGCCCTACATCGTAAAGGTCACTGGTTCATTTAGCAGCAGTAACTGATGGTCTCTCGCATAGGTTTTGTTCCCACAGTCCGCAGCACTGATTCCACCTGGTTAAAAAAGTCCAACATAAATTAAAAAAAAAAAAAAATGTCCGTCTGTGATGAGCTAATATTTGGGATAGTACTTTGAAGTGTGAAACAGTTGTGTGTTGGAGATGATGTATAAATATAAAAAAAGACCCTGCCTCAGTTGTCAGGGTCTTATCTTGGGGGTGAGTCCACTTAAAAGAGCACTGAGAAGAACGCCAGGAGGGAGGAGGGAGGAAGTTAGCCTGAGTCTAATCCCTCACATGAAGGCTTAGGACTGAGAACTTATTCTCCACTTCTGGAGTCACTCATTAATTATTGCCTCAAAGGCAAGTATGTGTCACTCTTTCTCTCTTTCGTCCTCATTTGTGTTCCCCCGTCTCCCCTTGGACCTCGTAAACAGACTGATTGTCTTTTTTTTTGGATTTTTCTAGTCTTTTGTTGTTTTGTTAGACCTTCTGATTTTTGTAACATTTTTCTAGTCTTCTGTTGTTTTGTTAGACCTTCTGATTTTTCACAACACTGGGAATATTCCTGAATTTTATATCTCCAGTCTGGATTTGAAGGTGTTGTACTGTTATAATTTTTTTTTAAATTTTATTTTATATATTTTTTTGCCTTTAATCTTCTCTTCGAGGGTATATGGTTAGTTCATTTGGCAGATGTATCTGTAATGGCAGTGTAGAGTAGAGTACCAGTACATTCCCTCAAATAATTCTTTATTTAAATGAAAAATGTTGAAGAAAAGTCCTAAATCTGGAAGAGCAGGTACCAATGCTGCTGCTTTTCACTTCATGTATATATCAGTATCT